TGTATTTTTTATGCTCTATTAGTTCTGAAGTTCTGAACACACAGCTACTTGTGTCAGAAGCACTGGGGAGATGCACCTAGCCAAATGGTTTGCTAATGACATGCATTTAGAAGATAAAAACAGTGATTTTAAGTCAGCCATTAGTTACTACAACTTTCATGACCATGGCTCCAAATATAACTTAAGTGAAACTGCTGCTTAGTATTTTTTATGCTCTATTAGTTCTGAAGTTCTGAACACACAGCTACTTGTGTCAGAAGCACTGGGGAGATGCACCTAGCCAAATGGTTTGCTAATGACATGCATTTAGAAGATAAAAACAGTGATTTTAAGTCAGCCATTAGTTACTACAACTTTCATGACCATGGCTCCAAATATAACTTAAGTGAAACTGCTGCTTAGAAGTGAATAACTAGTTAATTTGACAACAAAAAATAAGAGATCATTCACTAAAATATGATGTTACAATAAAAATGATTGAAAAACAGAGAAAATGATGTTTTTAAAAATAAAACCCTATAAAAACAACATTAAAAAAGTAATCAATACTGTGAGATTTTTAAAGCTAGTTTTACTTTAACACTGAAACTGAAAAGAGCTGATTGGTATATGGGTTGTAAAAAGCTAACATATGCTTTTCAAGTACTTGTGAAAACTCCCAGCCATTTGCTTCCGTATAATGCATTTTTTCTGGCAGAATCAGGGTTTCAAGGTGCAACTCCAGATCCAGACTTATCATCAGCTTTCTAAATATGGGGTGGCAAATAGGTGTTGATATTTAGCTGAAATATTTGTATAGAGGTTAGCCATAATATGATGCTTTGATTTCCATCTAAAACCCTCATGAAAGTTAAACAAACACCAAGTTTGTGTTCTAAATTCTTAACAGCTGCGTATACTGGAAGTGCATCTTAAGCACCAACTGCACATCAGCACAATCATACTGAGGTTTTACCTGCAATCCTTTCTCAAGTGATTAGTCCATTGATTTCAGTGGCACTACTGACATGAGTGAGGGCTTACTCTCACAGCTTCCTACTTTTCCCAGAAGTATTAAGAAAAAAACAAACAGCTTTTCAAAAACTAAGTAAGGTTTAAACACCTAATTCTGAACATTTTCTGTGTTTACTACAAACATTGAGGGACTCAGTGGTGGTTTTACAGAGGAAGATAGTAGGTGAGTACTACTAGCATGGAAGATAGGAGACACTGGTTCAATTACCTGGTCCGCTGCAGATTTCTGAAGATTTGAGCAAATTGATCTGTGCCTCAGTTTCCCCACCAGCACAATGAAGTAACTATATTTCTCTATCACATAGCAATATTGTGAGGACAGCAGACACTGGGGTAAATGGTTTCCATAATAG